GGATACCTGGTCCCAGGACCCCAAATAAAGGGCTGGCCCAAAGATCAAATCTGACCTTTTCTGCTTTATAGCAAAACTATGGAGATGTATATAATTAATAACATGTAGACTCATTTTTAGAGACCAATATCTGATATATGGATAATTTCAAAAAGTAAGATATTAAATAGTAATCTAGTATGCAGCATTGCTATAACTTACAGTCAGGTGGAAGATACCTGTTGTAGGCTTATGATTTTTGCCTAATGACTTTCCAACACTTTTCCTTGCAGACATAAATATTGGAGTGAAGTTTGATCACTTAAAAAGGCCTGTCAAAGGCAAATAGCAACTTCCTTCTATTAAAGTGAAGGTTAAATAATGTGGAAACTCAGTGAATACCCAAATTCAGAAATGCAATATCTAACCTGATGATAAACACAACTTCATGTGTTGTGCAAACCAGGGGTGGCAAACCTACCTGGGACCCCAGACTAGATCTGGCACAGGGCACCTGGGGCAGTGGCTGTGGAGGCTGTGGCCATGGCGGGTCTGGAGGTGGCAAGGACTTGCTACAACTGGTGAGGATTGCATTTAGCTAGAGTGCTGTTTGAGATAAACTTCACTTAATTTCTCTTCTGTGTTTATTTCTCAGTCCTTTGTTTGCCTTTAGAGAAAAATGTTTTGCACAGCCCTGCTAATTAGTGTGCAGATATAAGATAAAGATTTGTATGGATGGACGCATAATCGATGGGAAACTACTAGCTCTGTTATGGTGCCAGAAGGTTAGCACATCTGACTAATGCTGTTAAATCTGAAATAGAAAATTTCAACTGACGGGGAAGGCTAGCAGAGCTGGAACTGACCTATGCAAAACAGAAAGGTTGACTTCTGGCAAAATTATCCGATTCTTTTTTTTTTTTCCCCTTTCTACGTGGACTTTTTCACATAATTTTTCCGCCGCTACGTGGGAAAGTGATGTGTGGCCTTTTCATACTCCTGGCAAGGATTAGGTAGTATCAGTAAATATGTGCCTTTCAAACTAAGACTTCATTTCAGCTAGGGTCTCACTGAGGCAGTAGGTAGATATGCATGAAAATGAAGTGGGATACTTGCTTTTGAGAGGAAGGGGAAGATTTGTTCAATGACTAAAACTGATCTTTATTTTTGCTTAGTCATATTGTACCTGGAACCTATCAGCTTGAAGAGTTGATGTATCTGGGTAATGCAAATTAGCGAACTTCAGAAGTTGTGGTTAGGAGGAAGGGAGGAGGTGGTAAGTGGAGACTCATCTATGAAACTTTTACATATAAAGGGAATGTGGCAAACTTGATTTAAGTCTGTACCTGGGTTTGGAGAAAAGCCAACATTTGGGGATGGATTTACCTTGCAAACTCCATTATCATGTCATTATCGCCAACTTGGCTGTAGGAGTTTTTCAGGAAGAACTAATTTAATTAAAAATTGAGGTGGATTAGTATAGATTGAAATAATCTGATTTTAATTGGCTACAGGCAATCTGGAATTGCAAATTCTAGAGTTATTTTAGCATGGTGTTTTTAAAGGGTAAAACATGCTTCAAGTGATAAAAACAATTTTCATTTTTGGATTATTTGTAACAATTACCTTGGCCATGGAGTGTTCCTTTGATGTATGCCTCTTAAAAACACTTCCACTCTTATCTTTGTTAGGGCACTATAGAAAATTCTTATACTTTGTTAGGATGGTCCTTGGACCATATCAATGCTTTGGAAAAGTTTTTTTTAATAGTTCTAAAAATATAGTGAATGAGTATACAATGGGGAATTATCTGTATTTGTATATTAGGTTAACGTACAGACTATTCAACATGAAGTTGACTAACCAAGCTACTGCTTATTAATTGGAGAATGCCCTAGGAATGACAGTGTCACATAAGCCTAAAACCATGGCCAGGTGGTCAGTAATTTGTTGAACTTTTTTTTCCTTTTTCAAATAAGTTTTGGTATAATATAGACTAGCATAAAAAGGAATTGGCAACAGCATCTCACAGAAACACATTGCTTAGAAGCAGGGGTTCTGGTTTTCTCTGATTTAAAAAAAAATCCCCACTTTCCAGTTTAAAAAAAAATAACCCCATGATTAAAATGAAACCATATGATATTTGATAATGAGACACACTGTGTTAATTGTTTTTTTTAATAGATATAGATAGATATCTATAGATAGATGTATATGTATGTATATATATGTGTGTGTATCTATAAATTATTTATTAGTGGTGTTTTGTTTAAATCACAGAAAAATGTGGAGGATTTGGGGCCACTCTTTTAACTGAAAGTTGCGTGGTTTTTTTTTGAATCGGAGAAAACCAGGACCCCTGCTTAGAAGATCTGTACTTTGTTTAGGGTTGAAAATAATTACTTTGGTGTAGAAATAATTCTAGATTTGTAAATTTTCAATAAAACAGCTGACAACACTTAAACGCTACTACTGTACTGCAGTACATCTCCCTGAAATCACCGTGTTTTCTCGCGTACAACATGCCTTCAAATAAAACATTCACCTTGATTTTTTGGAAGGCAGAAAGCAGGGGAGCAAGAAGATTTTTTCAGACTGTGCAAGATAGTTAGTTAGTCCTCTTGGAAACGGGAATGTCCAGGAAGCATGGCATCCCAGGAGTGTGCGGCAGAAAGACCCTATTGCCTTCCCCAGACTGGTTTTTGGGATACCATGCTTCCTGGACACTGTTCCCAGGAGACATACTCTGTCAAAGATAGGCCCCAGACCTTTGCAACTACTGCAAGTAGTTCTTTATATAAAGTGCCTGTGAAGTGTTGCTTCTGCATCACAAGCCTCATCAGGATACTGCCAGCAGCTTACATGCTGCTTCCGGCGCAAAGCATAGTGGTTAGTCAATAGCTGCAGCTGTGAGAGGGTTAATACGGGACTCTGTCCCTTCAGCTTGCTGACCCCAAGACAAGTAGGGGTTGTTATCTTGGCAGCAGCATGTCATGCCCAGTCTCCAGGCTTGCTGTTATAGTGAAGAAAACAGCTTCTCTGCTTAATACGCACATCTGACTTTTGGGTAAAAAGTGTGTATTTGTGTGCAAGAAAATAGGGTATTATGGACAACGGTTATATTTATATTTGCGACTTACTGCCACAAAGCTTTGAACCCCTTTTCTAAATTTCATGCTTTTATGCTGCCTTTTCACTCAAAGTTTCAGATTTAGGCAGATGATTTCTCTTAACTTTTATGTAAGCTGTGTGCGAGAGCACAGCCTATTCCAGGGTTTACATCTTTTGTTTGATGTCCTGCACTTTGCCAGAGTGATGGAAGATGATGTGTTGTAGGAAAGCTTGCTAGGGGCACTTTGAGCTAGAGCAGCCTTAACATTCTTTTTCATGTGCTGTGGTCTACACATAAGTGATAAGCCTTCAGGATACGTTTTTAAGTTCACTTTGTGTGTACTGTTAAGAACTATTACTGACAACCAAGCTGAATGCTAAACACAATGAGAGGTGTACTGTATTTTCCTTGGTGAATTGCTCGGCGTTCAGCAGAGATCTAGGTCCAGAACATTATGTGGGACTATTATCAGGCCCTTATTTCAATCAGAAAATCTTGGCATCGGAGTGGATGCATCCAAGGAAATGCATGATTTGAGATTCAGTTTTTCAGCATTAAGAGATCATTCAAATGCTGTTCTGGTCTGTCCTTTTTCCGCTGAACTCTTTCGGTGGTTTTGTTTCATTAGCATATCTTTTACCATAAAGACAGTGTGCAGTTTCTTGTTGACACTTTTATCATTTTAGACCAAGGGTATCAAAATTGCCTTGCCCCATGGGCCAGATGAATGGTGGGTGGCTAGATCAAGCCCATACCCCACTGCTCTCTCTTCCATGCTGGGTCCAGCACATGTAGCTCTTGCTCTGGACCAGACAGCCTGGGACTGTGTTGTACATGGCGCTCGTGCATGGCTGGTCTAGGGCACAGCCTGCGTACGGTGTCTACTCCAGCCGGTCTGGGACACACACTGCACATAGTGCCACCCTGGAGCAGCCAAGAGGAGTGCTGTGTGCAGCTCGAGTCCTATAGCGGGTGCCACAGACAGCATGTGTCTTGGGCAGGTGCCATGTGTAGTGCATGTGCCGGACCAGCTGGGGTGGGTGCCTTGTGCAGCATATATCCTGGGTCCGGTGCGCAGGGCTGGTGCAGCACATGGTGCATGGGTCAACTCTTGACTCAGGGGCAGCACTGGGGCTGGATGAGGGGCTCTGTGGGATGAATCTTCAACATCCTTGTTTGAGATACAGTGTGAGAAGTTTTTCTATTACTTTGAGCTTGGGCAGTTTTTACCGTAAAAGTCCAGAGGGGAGCCACGTGCATGATCAGAGGACAGGAGAACAGGCCTATGAAGAGAGGCTGAGAGCCATGGGACTCTTCAGGCTGGAGAAGCAAAGACACAGGGGTGACTTGGCAGCAGCTTATAATATATAAGGGGTGTGTATCAGGATCTGGGGGAACAACTGTTCACCAGAGCACCCCAAAGGATGACAAGGTCCAATGGCCACAAATTCCTCCAAGACCGTTTTAGGCTGGACATGAGGAGAAACTTCTTTCCTGTCTGAGCCCCCAAGGCCTGGAATAGACTCCCCCCAGAGGTGTTGCAAGCACCTACTGTGGACTCTTAAGAAACATTTGGATGCCTATATCTTGCTGGGATCCTTTGACCCTAGCTGACGTCCTAACCCTGGGGCAGGGGGCTGGACCCAATGACCTTGCAAGGTCCCTTCCAGCCCTAATGTCTATGAAATCTATGAATTTTGCAATCTGTTCCTCAAACAGATCCAGCAATGTTCTTACATTTTCAATATGACAGTAGTTTTGGTTTGGGTTTGTAGATGAGGTGTGTGTGTGGGGCTTTTTGATTGATTTTTAAATACTATCTGCAAAAGAATAAAGGTAGCTTAAACCCCAATCTTTATGATACATCCAGTTTATTTAAAGTAATTGATTTTTCTTCTCTTAATTGCAGGAAATGAATGGGGTACTGAAGAGCATGCTTTCAGAATGGTTCTCTACAGGTTTCCTAAACTTGGAGCGAGTCACCTGGCAGTCACCCTGTGAAGTGCTTCAAAAGATTAGTGAGTAAGTACTGACAGTTATTGATGCTCACTGATATAGCTGAACACTAAGTTGGCCAGTCTGGAGAGACAGCTGTGCAGATCCTCTGTGCCTGGGTTTGGCAACCTGTGGCCTGTGGTTGGATCTGGCCTGAAGAGGTCCAGCCTGCTCAAAGGTGGCATCGGGGACTGAAGGCATGCAGCTGTGCCATGCTGCCCTTCCTCTTCACAGTGCCCCCCTCCTTGCTGCTTTTACACTGGTGCTTACCCCCAGTGCAGAATTTGCTTCTCTCCATTGCCACTGGGTCCAGGGACTGGCAGTGAGGGTAAACTTCAGCAGTTTGGGCTGTGTAGAGGGCAGAGATTTGTGGCCCGTGACACAGCCTGAGTTGGAAGTGGTGGCCAGTGGTTGCTGACCCCTGCCCTACGCTTCTGAAATGTCTATTTGTGACATACTGCGAAGTATGGTGAAGGAATCACAACTTTAAGGATGTCTGTTGACTTCTTTCTTTGTAGCAGAATTGTGTAAGTACTAAAGAGTGTCCTAACCATTAAGTCTGTCCATGCTAGGACCGTATTCAATGTACTTTAAAGACTGTAGATGAGTACACTTGAACCAAAGAGAAATGTCTCTTCCTGTAAAAAGGAATATAGTCAGCTTTGGTACTGGTTTAACTCCACCAAATGAGTAGTTAATGTAGTTTACCAATACAGCATATGTAGTTAATATTTTTATAATTTAGCTATTGTGCTCAGTGGGCAGATAAAATACACAGAGCTTAGTATAGAATAGAAATTGTAATCATGTTGAAGCTTGTATAAATGGCCCGCTAGTCAAAAATGTTTTCTGTTTCTCCTGTCCTATACACAACTCACAACAATTCAGTGGGAAAAAGTATGAATTGGTGTTCTGTTGAAGTTTTTCAATATGTGACCTTCATGGAAAGCTCTGAAGAAACTTGAAGCTCTAAAGAAAAGAGTTGGGGTAGCAGGCAACTTCTGCCGTTCCTTTTGGCACAAAGAAGGAAAAACCAGTGATAGAGGTCATGCTTGCAAAATAAATAACTAATAAAAATCATAGCCTCTCAACTAAAGACTGCAGCATAAGAATCCTGCGACTGAAGTCTTCCATAGTGTATATTAAGGGGAAAAAGAAACGAGAGATTATAAAAAGGAATGATTAGAACTTGACTGAAGAAGTTTATGCTATGTACAGTTTAAGAATTTGTTTGAGTTATTGCATGTAACTGATAAAAACTGAGGGAGTTGTATGGAGTACTAAAACTGAGATGAGAGTTCACATTCTTGTTTCTCCATGAAACTTTTGTAATAAATTACAAAGCTCCTTTCTCTAATGTCTAGGGTCTGGTTAAAGGCAAGTAACATTATTGTCCTTAAAATGAATGTATTAAAAAGGGGATGAGTTTGGAAGGTAGGGAGGTTTATAAGTACTATTAAGGATGAGCTCCAAGAGGTTTGGTCAGCGTTCCTGTCCGGCAAGCACTTCACCCTCATACAATTATTTTTTGAAGCTTTCAAAGCACTTACAAAAATGCTTAAATATTATCTCTATTTTACAGATGGGGAAACTTATGCCTGAGGGATATGAGATATCTATGCTCACATAGTGAATAAGTGGCGTAATGATCTAAATCAGATATCTTGTATAAGTCAGAAAGCACAAACTATTATTTCAAATTTGTAGTGAATTTATATAACAAGGTTAGAGACAGTGTATGTGAGAGAAGGATATTGCACAATATAGTAGGTAATAGTTTAAGTCTGGAATTTCATGTTCTCTTTTGATCTGCCCTGTTGAACTCAGTTTCGCCGATGACAGCAAGGGAAACATGGGCTAAGAGTGTGTGTCAGGAGAATTCTGTTTTTAGATGAAAATCTGACTCTCTTCTTGTACATCCTATTCAGAGCTGAAGCTGTTCACCCTGTTAGAAATTGGGTTGACATAAAGCGTCGAGTTGGGCCATACAGAAGGTGCTACTTTTTTTCACACTGTGCAATTCCTGGGGACCCATTGATAGTCTTGCATGTAGCACTGACTGATGAAATATCCAGCAGCGTTCAGGTACAGTCAACAGCATATTCAGTACACATTTCAGTGATCACATTTCAAAATATGCCTGTTAGAGAAGCTGATTTAAGAATGGTTGAGAAATCTTTGTTTAAAATCCCAGTTTGATTCCCAGTACTACTGTTTCCCAGTTGTTTAAAGAGACTCTGTTGACCTTTGGCTTAAATATACATACATATTTGATGTATGCTTCAGTAGAGTCTGAATAAAAAATGGGAAAAGAGGATTCTCATTAATTAATTAACAAGCAACTAAATGAAGTATATTTTTTAGTTTCATTAGTAACTTTTTAAAAAAAATCTTTATTTTCCCAGGCAATTGTGAAAGAAGTTTCACATACGGAAATAGAAGACATGAACAAAATCACTACAGCAATTTTCTATTCAATCAGTTTGACTCAGCAGGGGCTGCAGGGTGTAGAGCTGGGAAATTACCTCATCAAACGAGTTGTTAAGGAACTTCAGGTAGGTGTGGCAAATGACACTTGGCTAGTTCTCCTCCGTTCCAGTTTCCAGTGTCTCACTGTTCAAAATGTGGAACTGGCCTGGAAGTCTTTAAAGATTTGGAGCACGTTTTTTGTCTCCATATATACTAAATGAGTACTAGAGTTAATTGTTGACCTTTTGATCATCTGTTTTTGTTTTTTTTTTTTAAAGTGAGCTGTGGTGCTGCAACTCATAACAGTTGCTTTTTAGTAAAATATAACTCTTAGCAGTCCCAATTATATAGGATTTCTCTTTTCAGAACTCAGTTTTTTCAGCTCATTAAAGTATGTGTTGCCGTTGATATATATGTATATTCCAACATACCCTTTTGTATTTGAAATTTTACACAAATTGGCTTTTCAAGGGTCAGATTCTAATGAGATTGTTAATAATGAGATTAAGGCTAGAGAGGAAGATAAAGCTCATAAGATATCACACTCTACTTGTGTTCATAGTGGGTAACGACATAACTTCCAATAAATGTTATTACTTGGCATAACTTGTTATAAATGTTTTTATTAATGACTTTAAGATTTTCAACTTCAACTGTTTAAAATTTGTGAAGCTTTCATAATTTATCACTAGTGTATAGCAGTTTGTCTGTATAGTACAAATTGAGGATGGGAGTATTAATAAATCTAGATTCATGGTAAGGTACTAGCTTTTAAAATAATAGCAGTGGCAAAGTTATCTATGTCAGTATATTTACCAGCTACACTCTACACTGGCATTTCACTCTATTGAGCAGTACTTGTCTATTCTAATTAGAGCTGATCAAAATTTAATACAAATCCTTTTTCTCTTTTTATAGAAATCTTTTCCCCTTAACACTGAAATTTCCCAACCTACTTTTAATTACAATTGAATAGCACTGTAGCATAATCCCAATGGTGTATCATTGCAGAAATCATTAGAAACAGAATGGCAGTGGTAATTGGTGTGGACTATTATTTATGAATATATGTGAGCACATGTCTGAAATTTTCTATTGCAATGAGAGCATCTGTCTCTGACCATTCAGGACTTCTGGGGGAAAAGGAATATGTTTCGTGTTAACAGGTTTTGGAAATGTTAGTCCATATGTTTATATGCACCACTAAGTTGACTCTTAAGTTTATAATTTACATATATGTAAATGATAAGTGTTCTGACTGTTTTAATCAGAAATGCATACATCGCCCTCAAGCTATTGAACTTTACATGGGTCACTTTGTACCTTAATGAGCTTAAAAAAAGACTAATAACTAACAGTTGCTTTGAACTAAAAGTAATATAGCTAAAATGAGTGAAAAGACTGAAAGGGTAAGAAATATTTAGTTTTCAACAATGTCATGTGTTAGTTAAAAAGTACTGTTCACTTGATAGGGCACCTATTTAAGGAATGCTGGCTTGCAGCTAGATGCACATTATGGTCAGAAATTGCCCAGATTCTGTTGAGAGAGTTTGGTTTCCTGTTACAGGGTTAACTGTCAACGTTTGATGTCATCCTCTTCACTATAATACAATAACTGTCTGGTTGATGAGGCAGCTGTTTTTCTTTTTTAAGATATGTGCTGGAAAGTCCCAGTAAAAATATACCCATTTTTAATTTAGGGCCAAATTTCATTCCTGCTTTGAAACAGAATTTCACTCCTCCGTGTCTATAACTGTTCAGAGGCCTGAAAACCTAATCAGAAAGGTTCCTGGAGAAGATGGATGTTAGAGTCGGACTCGGTCTTACCATTAAGTCAAGTGAAGTATTCGGCACCTGTTATTTTAATAGTAGTCAAGTGTTCACATGATGTTGAAGAATTAATTTGAAGAGACTCTGTTACAAAACGTTAGGCATCATAAACACTTAACATCATAATTCATGCCTGGAGAAATTAAGTTTCCAAATATGACTAGTACAAAATGTTGCCATTTTTGGGTTTTGGATGGGTATGTACATGAGGTAAACCTTTAAAAAGACAACTTAATGTAATAACTGTTAAATTAAGTTCCACTACCTTGCTTCACTTGCAGTGCGCTAAAAACAAACTCTCTTAATCAACTGTATCTTCTCTGACAGCCCTAAAAGTATAAGGGCCACCATTGCTACCTTGTTTAAGAAGAACAGCTTAAATGTGCAAGACAATGTGTCGATCTGCCTAAATATCTAGGCAGGAGGGGGCAGCAAGTGATACTCATTCAGACAAATGGTTTAGTCATAGATATTGTGAAGGAGATTGAATTCCAGAAATGTTAAATCAATCGTACGCTTGCGTTTGGCTAGATCTGCTCTACAGTTGTACGGGTATCTTTGTAAACTTGTTTCTCCTATTATTATTACAAAATGGGTGAAAGCTCCATTTCACTGTCAGTAAAGGGAATACTTTACTGTATAAAATATGCAGCGATTCTTAAAAAGCCCACTGTTGCGTCTTTGGTGATGGCAGAAATCAAATTATCCAAAACTTTGGCATTTTGTCACAAGTATTACTCTTTTCCATAGCAGTGGAAATGAACAAGCATTTCAACGAAAAGACAAACTAGTGTATATGAGACA